CGCTATATATATATATATATATATATATATATATATATACATCAATTGCTAAGTTTAGTATATAACTGTTTGTGAACAGTAGACCATAAATGCTGCTAACCGTGAGAAACACATGATTGACATAAAAGGAGTGCATGAAAGACAAATTCTGGGATTTAAATATGGACATTTCCATAATTACAATTCACAATTAACTTTCCATGAGATAATGTCCCATTGTTAGACAGAATTTGCACTTTGAATCATTTTAAGACATTTTGATGCATATTATACCACTGTAGAACTTTTCCAATTTTTGAATGTTACTAGTATGAAAGGAATTGGCTCACTTGAATTTGGCATGAGAAACAAAGACAAAATGGGCTTTAATTCTAATTGTTTGAACTGCAGTTGAAATAAAAGAATTTGAAGCATAGGATTGTGTAGGCAATCATTGTTTGTCTTTCATTTTCATTCAGCATACAAAAGCTGTCATACAGACAGAATGTGACTTTGACAGAGACTGTAAGAGAAAACAAATGGAGTTGAAAAGTCATTTCTAAACCCTGTAGAGTATTTGGATTTCACTGCCATTGAGCATATATCTTTTTTCAACAGTCCCACATTAAAATATTGTCAATGGCAAGAAGCATTAAGTATATATATATACTGTGCAGAGTTCTAAGTATGGCCAAAGCCAACAAACATATAGATAGGTAAAAGAGCAATATTTTATGCCCAAAGTATAGATCAAACCTGACCATTTCATGTTTCAAATATTATACCTGGATAAGTAGTTATTACCCACGTTGCAGATCCACTTATCACATGGGATGAATGGCACTGCTCAGAAAACTTATAACAACCATACTGTAGCTCTTATCAGTTTATGCACTGTTTCTTGAACCAGACATCTATGTTGACTGCACGTGCTTATGGCTGAAGCTCAGCTTCCACTTATGTGTACGTATAAAGCATGTACTGTTGGAAGAAACATGAAAATTCTCTTTGGTGCGTATGAGTAAGGGAGGATGTACTACGAATTCCTGTTGCATTGTGTCACGAAATCCTCATTTGTTCTTCTTTGGCTGTTAGAATGTAACCAAGAAATTTAATTTACAAAAAAAAAAGCTAGTGTGAGAGAGGAGGATCTGAGTCACATATAATTAATTCTTCTTCACGGATGTTAAGTGTCAACACCGAACCTTTGCCCTAGCAGAGACAGGTAGTTCTCTGCAAAGTGAAAACTAGTTCTGGCACAAAGGAGAAGGTAAGTGAGGCTTTATGGTTAAAAAAACAAAAATTAGCACATGTACAACAGATTTATGAATTTAATGGGTTAAGCATCCCCTTTATTTTGACCTTTTTGTTTAACGTTTTGCAGTCTATTTTCAATAAATGAAGATTTCTGATTTCTTAGAAAAAGTATATTTGTATAAAGAATTACAAGGAAAAGAGTGGAATTTATACTAACAAACGTCAGGAAGGTCAATTGATTTAATTTATTTTCAGATATTTTTTCAGTGCATTTGAAAAGTCAAATTAACAGGGTTTTGCATTTCTAATTACATTAATTTGGCATTCTAACTGGTAGAACGTTGAATAATTTATTAGTTTTATGTTATAATTGAGGAATAATACAACATCAAGGAATTCCAAAGCAGTATTATAATCAGTTTTCCTAACTTAAAATATTTTTTTAATCTAAAATTTCCCACAGAACTCTGTATTTACCAGAAGCAATTATCTTTAGATTCTTTCAGATAAGTGCATGAAATATTCCGTCTTGTACTCGACTACACACAAACACAAAGGAACAACTATGATGCAATATTGTTCTAAAAACAAGATTTATTAAGTAGGTTTAGAGGCCACATTAGTTTTAACTTGCAAAATCTCTTCTCAGTCTTGTAAAGATAAAATAAGTTATACTATTTGTTGACCTAAAATGATATTTTTCATATGTTCTTGTTATCATTATTAATCACCCTGCCATGCAGAACGTAGGTCAGATATCCTCAATAAAGTGAAAAGACAGATTAGTAAAAATATTACTGATCGTTAGAATGGCCAAGCAGAATGCAGTGCCTAAATGGTGAAAATGACTTTGAAAAGGAAGAGAGTAAACAGGAAAAAAATCAAAGTCAAAAGAGTTTTGGGAACCAATGTAACCATCAGGGTCACTTGGGTGACTCATAACCGACAGGGTCGATAAGGTCACTAGGGTAGTACCTGATCAGAAAATTGCTGTCTAGGTTAAAAATAAATCTATTGCCAGTGGTAAACGACATGGTTTCCCTTTGGGAAATAGTTCATTTACAAATTAATGTATGGTAAGTACACACCGTACAGCCTTGCAGTGATATAACTTCCCCTACCCTTCTTCCCTTATTTCACTATAGCACAGACTGATTTACTAGTGATGAATGATGCCTATCTGGGTAAGCTTTTGAGGGTAACTGGGCATGTGTAGAAATTAGGTCATTTTTAAATCTGCCCAATAAGAGAACACCTCAGACATGCTCAGTATGCCCCAAGAGGTAATTTTTTAAAGGGCCCTTCTGCATTAAACACCCAGTGTATGCTAGTTTAAAAGTCTTAAAATCTTATTGTGAACCATTACTTACAATATAGCCGAGAGGTTATATACGCAGCTTGTAATGCAAAGTTCAATGCTTGTTTCCTGGCCAACCATATAAACATAGAAACATAGACACATAGAATGTGACGGCAGATAAGAACCATTTGGCCCATCTAGTCTGCCCAATTTTCTAAATACTTTCATTAGTCCCTGGCCTTATCTTATAGTTAGGATAGCCTTATGCCTATCCCACGCATGCTTAAACTCCTTTACTGTGTTAACCTCTACCACTTCAGCTGGAAGGCTATTCCATGCATCCACTACCCTCTCAGTAAAGTAATACTTCCTGATATTATTTTTAAACCTTTTGTCCCTCTAATTTAAGACTATGTCCTCTTGTTGTGGTAGTTTTTCTTCTTTTAAATATAGTCTCCTCCTTTACTGTGTTGATTCCCTTTATGTATTTAAATGTTTCTATCATATCCCCCCTGTCTCGTCTTTCCTCCAAGCTCTACATGTTAAGATCCTTTAACCTTTCCTGGTAAGTTTTATCCTGCAATCCATGAACCAGTTTAGTAGCCCTTCTCTGAACTCTCTCTAAGGTATCAATATCCTTCTGGAGATACGGTCTCCAGTACTGTGTACAATACTCCAAGTGAGGTCTCACCAGTGTTCTGTACAATGGCATGAGCACTTCCCTCTTTCTACTGAGCACCACAGCAGCATCACTAATGGGTTAAATTCCATTACTCAGAATGCAGGATGTGACAAACTGAACTTTGTCACTGGTTCTTGGAGGGGCCTGCTTGCTAGCCTCTTGCCCCAGGACTTTACCCAAACTCCTGCTATACCTAAATATAATCTTTTTCAGTCTATGACACCTTTCCCTTAAAAGTGTTTACCCTACCCCTAATATTATACTTCACTAACACTTTAAAGCACACTTTATAAAAGATTTAAACATTTCTACAATGAACAACAGATTGGTGCCAGTGCAATGCCCTGTTCGTGTAATACACGGTCACACACAACCACTATTGAATGGGTTTTAAAGCTTTAATATGAGAGTCACAGAATGAATATTTTTGGTTGAATACTTTGTTTATTTTGTTAAGATATAGATTGAAAGCATAGTATAAACTACTTCATCATTATTTTTTTCTTCATTTAAAAACAAAACAAAACATAAAACATTGCTTTTAAAAAAAAAGCCTGGTATTCCATTTGTGTTCAACACATTTTATGTCTGTCCAGCTCTGAATTGAAATGCGAAAGTGAAGGCTTTGCTCACATGAATTCAAAAATGAATCATGACTGACACTCACTGCAAATAACAATTTCCTAACTACAAATTGAAGACTTTTTTTCAGGTGAAAAACTCACAACTGACAATGATAAATCAGACAGCAGATTTAAAAGAGTACACCAGTCTTCTTCCAATGATAGGTTGTAAAATAAATCTTCCCATAGTCACTGAAGGAAGAAGGTAAAGTGCTTGCTTTGTTTTTTTTTTTTAAATTACAAAAATCATAGACATGAAAAAATAAATTGCTAAACAATAACATGGAGCACGTTCCACATTCTTTAAATATTATTAATTTAAGATAGTTGCGTATTATTTTAATTTGCTCATTGCTTTTTTTGCTTTTTCATTCATTATTCAAACCATTCTATTTAGGTATACTTTATTGTGTATTTGTGTAATACATATTTGCTTTGTAGTGTCATGTTGTGTAGTAACTCATATAAAAGCCAAGCTCCGTAGAAAAATTGCCGTGTTAATTTCCTACTTTCTGAATTGTAGGAAATTGAAATTGTAATTGAAAAATTAATGTTAAAATAGCTAAGCTGTAACTACTGCCGAGTTGAAGAATTTTTTCAAATCAGCTATTTTTGTCTTAATTTTGCCATTCAGATTTCGATCCTGTAGAGCTTGAAGTTTAGAGAATAACCCTGTGTTATAGCTATAATAGTGAATGAACGTCTGTTTTGTACTATCAATCTAAGCAGTTTCAGGAAACATTTTCACGTACATAAAATGTGTCATCTATCGGGGGCAGGGCCGGACCGTCAAGCAGAGTAGACGCATGGTACTCTAGCTCCTGCTGATTACAGGCAATTTAACCCTAAAAACGCAATTTCTGGCGCTGAAACACGGCAGGCAACAACACTACGGGGTGCGGGCTCTGAAGATCAGCCAGTGACTCGTCTCTTGACCCCTTTAGGGGAGAAAACTGAGCTCCGTGACCGAGGCCTAGCCAAGCCTACCCAGGTGGTGAGTAGGATGGACGGCCGCCACCCTATCCTACCCGACTGCAACATGGGGGTCCCCTAATACAACGGGGTGATGGCCCCGTTTCCCCCCCCTTTGGGCCGGTGGGGGTCATCCCGGCCTACCCTGTGGCCCTACTCAGAGCGGAGACCTCGCCTAATCTTCAAGATGGCGGCTGAACCTGACCGGCACTGTGGTCTTGGCGCTCACAGCAGGCAACTCTGGGAGATATCTCCTGAGCGACTCATCTATCCCGAGACCCGACCTGGGGTGCTTTCAATCGACACTGCAGACCTTGTGCAGAGACCAAGGTCTGCAGAGCTCAAGAACTCCCGAGGCACTCAAGCTACAAGCAGGGACGGACCCACAATGCCGAGACACACACCCGACAGTAGTGGATCACTGCGGGGTCCCCACATATATCCAGCTCCCAACCGCGAATGGCTGATACCACCTGACAAACCCTACCACAGCATCAGAGGAAACTGTGAGGCGAAGGACTGTATCCTGCCAGTGATGGGAGTAGACTGCTACCTGCATAGGGACTGGGGTCGCCTCCTCTCTGACTCTGGAGTAGTAATTATCAGGGTCACCTTATCACTGGGATGAGAGTCTCTGTTCGGGGGCCCAGGGTTCTCTAGTGGCATGCTTTCCTCAGTTTTTTCATGCAAACACCATGCCGTTTTGTTTAGCGTAATTGCCTTTCTCACATAACCTACTATGTCTAAAATGTGATTACTGCTATGCTTGATATCTGACATAACTTGTTTCTGTTTGCTGCACGTTTACCTACTTCTAACACCGAAGCTTTAAAGACACAACTACTAATACCTATACATCTAAAAAGTTGTGCACGTTAATCATTTGCCTCATTTTGTAAAACGTTATGATCACATGGGGATTGCCTTTGGCACCTCAGGCATGCTTGTATTTCTCTTTTGCTCAGCAAAAAAAAAGAATAAAAAAAAAAAGTGTCATCTATCAGAGTTAATTAATTACTAAAGTGAGAATTGTCAGGAATTGAAAGCAAATTTAAAGTACAATAACATTTAAGGCCAAAATAACCAAACTGGAAACAGGCCTCCCAACCATTCAGATTTTCATGTCCTGTCCATCTGTCCCACTTTTGAGGACACTTGGAACTGTCCCCAATAAGTATAGTACAAGCACTTTAGACACTCGTTCTTCAGAGAACTAGGACAATGCAGTGCTATCTGCAAGGTCTGGCCTTAATGATTGACAGGTAGACTTGTGTGCATTCATGTCAGGCTGACCTCCAATAATTTGGGAAGTCCCTCCCCCTTTCCTGGGTGAGTCTGCCCCTTTGGGCAGCCCCATTGCTGCAATCGTGTCACTGGCCCGTCCCCTTTATACCTCTCACTGGCGCCCTATTCTTGGGACCATGGACAGTTTCCATTTGAATTATTTTGACCTTAAATTTTGAAATTTGATTTGACACTTTTCACTTTAGTGAATAACTTTGCCTTAAAATGCTAATTATGAAATCCCTGTTTAAAGTTTTTGACAAAAATAGCTGAAATGGACAATTTCTCCTACTTACCATAAGGAGTAATCTTCTCTGTCCCTGGACTTTAGAATTGAAGCAGCACTCCCCACATAACCAATCCTGAAACACCGTACAAGCATTCCCCAATTAGAAAATAACCAAAGGACAACAAGCTGGAAGGAAAAGACCACCACCACATTTATTTATTATTTATTTAAACAAAACTGCTGTAATTAATAAATAATTATCTAGGGTGTTGGCACTAAGGGGACTAGTTAAACTTATCAGCCAAGTAGAGGAGCATAAGGAAAGTGAAATCTTCAGCACAACCACCTTAAAGGGACACTATAGTCACCAAAACAACTTTAGTCTCACTGCTCAGTTCTCTGCCATTTAGGAGTTAAATCACTTTGTTTAGGAACCCTAGTCACACCTCCCTGCATGTGACTTGCACAGCCTTCCATAAACACTTCCTGTAAAGAGTCATCTGAGGTTTATCCTTCCTTTATTACAAGTTCTGTTTAATTTATCCCCTGCTATATTAAAAGCTTGCTATACCCTGCAAGAGCTTCTTGTATGTGATTAAAGTTCAATTTGCAGAGCAAGAGATAAACTTGTTTAAGGTAAACTACATCTGATTGAAAGGGAAACCAGTTTTTTTTCATGCAGGCTGTGTCAATCATTGCCAGGGGAGATGTGGCAAGGGTTGCATAAACAGAAACAAAGGGATTTAAGTCCTAAATGGCAGTGAATTGAGCAGCAAAACCTGAGAGGTATGGTCTATACACTAAAACTGCTTTATTAAGCTAAAGTTGTTTAGGTGACTATAGCGTCCCTTTAACCCCTCAAGGACACATGACATGTGTGACATGTCATAATTCCCTTTTATTCCAGAAGTTTGGTCCTTAAGGGGTTAAGCAAAGTATGTAGGTGTGTGCACCAGCCAAGCCACTAGCTGAGAAGGGTAAAATCCCTGCCCTCTTCAATACAATCCCTCCTGCCCTCTCTATCTGCAGCAAGCCACAACTACACCATCTCATGGTAGAGGGAAAGAATACACTCTTTCTGAGGAGGGTCGGGAACTCATCAATGGTCTCCAAAGGGACAGACTAAATAAAATATAGGAAATAAAAAGGTGAATTTAACTAATCAATCCCCACTACCAGCTAATAACAAAATGCCCCGACCATGGAGAGGAAACAAACTCTGCTCTGCCCCAGAAGAACAAAACACAAAGAAGTAAAGAGACAAAAAGGAAAAATCAGGAGACCGCAGGGGCCTAAGAGGATAAAATAGAAACAATTACCCTCCTGTCTAAGGAGAAGACTCCTAATTACTTTCAATTTTAGGGTTTCTCACACCCATAATACGATTTGACTATTTTAGCAAAAATTGTGTAATTTCAGTTTTTAGTGAATACATTTTTGTTACACTGGGTGGAATCCTTATCATCGGCGTTGACGAGCAGGTAGCACAAATGTCCGATGGCTAATTTATGCACAAACATTTAGTCACATGGCATAAAAATAATATGCTTATATATTACATTTAGCCCCTTGCAGGCACGACCAAGTGTTTTACAGTAAGTCGTATAATATTACTATTACGCACCAGATTGTGTGCTTATTTCAGGAATTTTAGATTCCAAACTATGAGGGTCCGACAGGAATCAAAAAACGCTCACAGATGTTTACAGCAGATGTAATATCACATTATGATCTTACTTGCATTGTTGTGGGAAATGTTACAAGTATATCTTTAAAATGAAATGGTGTCATTAGCTTTTCTAATAAAATTGTTCTAAAAGGTTGACCTAAAGTTTTTTTATATCTAAATTATATTTATAATTCCCTTTGACTCCATTAGAGCTATTTAGTAAAGTAAGAATTGTCAGGAATTCAAAATGAATTGTACAAAGCAGCCAACAGAACTGCTATCAGGTCAGCTACTTTGGCCCTAGATTAGAAATTCAATTTAAATTCACTTTTTATTTCCAACAATTCTCAATTTAGTAAATAACACTGCATAGGTTTACATACCTTAGCAGATAGCATTTGCTCAGTTCCTATTTTTCTTTCTTGCTATGCTTAATCGAAATCCCAGAGAACATTAGCAGTACACTGTTCATGGGTAGAGAGGAGAGGACATAACATGGGCATATGTCATGACTTAACCTCTCTTTTATTGTATTGTCATCACGTTTTGCTTTGGTCTTAAGCTCCATGTGTTTCTGGAACCTGCTAAGGGCAATATACCATGCACCTGTTGAAGAGGGGTGAATTGAAAAAAGGGGGGAAATTAAGGGTAGGTTCTGGTGTCATGATGTTCCACAGCAGAAGTTCAGCAATTATTGTTCTTGTCTTTGGTGAAGGAGTTCTTTAATTTGCTCCATTGTACTAACTTAAATTTTGCTAAGCAGTTCTGGAACGAGGGGAGTGAGGATGCACTAAGGAACCAGAATGAAGGACTTTTGTTACTTGAAGACTAGTGTGCATTAGGAGATCATCTCCCATGAAAAACCTAGGGGGTATGACCATGTCTCAAAAATGAGATAACACAAGTAAATACAGTACAAGGATTGAGGATATTGCCTAAAAGGTAATCTATAAAAAAAATTTAAAAAAAAAAATCTGTGGGGTCCTGAAAATATGCCCTGGGCACCTTACCAGCAGTGCATTAACAGAGGAATGGTTGAATGAGTAGCAATAACTGACATAGTTCTTTTATGCCTTGGTTTATTCTCACCAAGACTGTGGTGCTCTTTCATTGGCAAGAAATTATAAAAATGACACAACTAGCAATAGCAAACTTGACATAAAGTTGCAAAACTGGGCTGTTTTTGGGGGGAGGGGGTTTGTTCTTTCTTATAAGTCTCTGACACGTTAGTCTCTGACAGTAGCTTAAAGGAACACTATAGTGTTGGCAATACAAACATATTATCTCCAGTAAACATTTAGTAAGATAAATTATATATATAAAATATACAGAAATACCTCATTTGAGCCATAAAATATTCAGTTTCATGATTTTGAAAAACCAATAGTTTGGCCATAAAAATTAATAATTTTCAAAGGGTTCCAATACTTTTGCAACTCACTTTAGGTCCTGGATTGTTGGAGACTGACTTGAATCACACTCCCTCGGTGCAGTTGGTATTTGTGGCTGCCACCATTTTTTCTCTCAGCTGCATTACTCAAAGCTGGACAAAGGGTTAGAGTGACACTTTATTCCTCCATCTACAATGCTGGTAAAAATAGTATTAATATGTGTCTGATTAATATTTGCCTTATTAAGTTTGTAGGGACAGAACAGATACCCTGGAAAGATAAATGGATGGCCTCATAGATTCACACAGCTGCTTAGTGGACAAATATGCGTGACTCTCCAAATGGCTGGTCCATTTAAACAGGAGGTGGCTGAGTCTGTGGAATACTGGACTCTGTATAAAATGCAAACCTAGAAGATTATGTTTAAGAATATATAAAGTTGCTACTCCCCAACTTTAAAACAGATGAGTATTTCATGGACTGGATCCACCGCCTGCCACCGCTTTTTTTTTTTTTAAGGCCAACCATAAAATGGTCACATGTGTACTCATACTCAAGGTCGCCATCGTAAGCCAAGTATCAGGGTTATTGTACCTGTTAATTGTTACTTTTAGTTTTTTCAAGTCTGGTAAAACAATGTAACTATAAGAGAGTAAAGAGGACCTGAAGCATGGGGGTTTGCACATAGCAACAGTTCCTGTTTCAGTATAGGTTTTATGGTTGATTATTTTCATTACTGTGGTGGATTAACAAGAGACAGAATATCTAGAGATGTCTTTCTGCACTGAGCACATTATAGGATTAGGTAAATGTTACCCTGTGAGAGCCATAAAGACAAGTAATACAAGGATCGAGGATATTGCCTGAAAGGTTTTATGACTTGTCAGTTGTTATAACACTATATTATTATATAATATTAAGTAGAATACCTTAGTACCAGTAGTTTTAAACATATATTTATCTGGACAAAGGGATGAAGTTATATGTTAGCTATTGGAACAGGTTACAAATAGATATTACAATAAAAAGTACCCTTATAAAACTGAAATAAAAAT